CGAAGATGGAGAACACTTTCCCGGTGAACAGAGAATCCAAGATACCGTCCACTCGAGGGAGAGGTTGTCCATCCAAATCCACCAGAGCGTTGAGACATTTGTAGTTGACGGTGATGCGAACAGATCCGTCCTTCTTGGGGATGACAACTAAAGGAGAAACCCACGGAGATGTGGAATGTTGANAGTGGACGGCATGATGGTGCAAGAACCAAAGTCGGTTTTCGAAGTAGAGTACACGTCAGAATACTCCACAAGGGCGTCGGTCAAACGATCAATAGCCTCCGGTATCCATCCCGGATTGTGTAGATCGAAAGCGATGTCGTGCATATGTGCGGGCAGCCTAGCCCACAAGCGCATGAAGCTGGAGCGCTGTGCCTCAGAGAAGCGGTCAAGTAGTTCTTGTGGAGGTTTCGGAGGGGGCGGGGCGGAGGCTGGGTCCGGAGAGCGGTGAGTCCCGGACTTGGGGCCAACGGCGTTGACCCGAGGTGGTAATGTAGATGTTGTGGGGCCGGTAGGAATCGAAGATGGTGCCGCCTTCAGGGTTTCCACCGGTACGCGTAGTAGCGGCGAGGCAGACACTCCAATAACGTCTCCCGGCTCGAGCTCGGCACAACCTGCAAGGGGAATACGCTGGAGACCATTGGAAACGAACGCATCTGGGGACGAAAGCGCACCCACTTCGGGTTTGAACGATACCAGGTACTCTCCAATCAGCGCAGGCATGCCAGAAAACGAACGAAGTCCACCTCAACCAGTGCAGGCTCCGGCCCCAAAGAAATTCCCGAGCTCCCTGCATATTTAAGGTGATACGAGGAGGCAGGAGCGTCGTCGTGTGTAGCGTAAACGCAAGAGCCAGCTGTAAAACGCGGAGAGAGCGTGAGCTCGCCCATAACCCGGCCGTCCGGTTCAGGGTGGGGGAGGGTGGTGAACACGCGAGAGTTGAAGCGCATCCAGCTATCACGACCCAGAAGCACGGGGTGCCCCATGGCGGCGTCTGGAACAACACAAGCCCAGACCGCCAAGGAAGCGATAGCTCTTATCTCCATGGAGATTATTGACGGTGAGACGAACTGACCGGGTGATCACAAGGGCGGGTCCATCACCAAACCCACCCCAACGACGAGAGGGCGAAACACGAACGCTGCCAGCTGTCAGGGCTCCGGCAGCTATCATGGCGGTGACCACGGAGTCGGAAACGAAGGATGCAGGAGACCCAGAGTCCAGAGCGCCACTCGCGCGAGTTGAGAAGTGGCTGTAGGTCCTCCATGCAGCAGGACCCGGGTGGTGTACGAGTCCGAGTCCAACAGGAGCGTGCCGCCGACCAGATCGGGCCCATGTTCGAGAAGAGGAGGCTGGTCTGCACAAGCGGAGGTCGATGCCACCAGATGAACGCCAGGAGCATGGTCCCCCGGAGCGTCCAAACGTAGACAAGCTGGGTCTTCGCCCGGGTCCTTCCGTAACGAAGAAGCTCTAACAGTAGCAACCTCATGGATGCGTCGATGTCCATGGAGAGGAGGCTGCGAAATGGGGGGCGTGGGAGAATTGGAAGCGGGGAAATCTTCGCCAGACAGGAGATGATCACGCGAAAGGCGTCGAACTTCCATCAAAGCTTTCCCCACCAAGTTTTTACCGCTAGCCGCCCGCTTGGATGAAACGCTAGCCTCTGGAAAGCATGCAGACATGCCAATACCCCAAACACGATCGAAGGGGCTGGCTTCTGCAAGGAGGCGGGTACCCGTCTCCAGTAGATGATGTTCCATGTCATGGTTTTGAGCAAATTTGGCATACGACCCCGTAAGCACGATCTCTTCACGACGACGCTCCCATGCAGCATAGTCGAAAGGACGCACGTTTCGACCCAAACATTTGTGTGTCTTAGGATCTGTTGCAGCCATAATTTTGTCATGCGACGTCATATCTCCAAACAACTTCGCTTTTTCAGACATCATAAATTGCTTACCACATGAGTAACGTACCCCCAGTACGTCAAAAGCCGAAGGAGTCCATTGCGAGAACACAGACGGAGGTTTCCAGAAAAGAAGGACGTCATCCGAAGCGTACTCGCACTTGTCATCAAACGGCGGAGCCGGTGCAGGGC